TTTAGTCATAATGTCTAAAGGATATTTTTCTTTCCTTCTTGAAATCTCCCCTTTTTTGAAGTCTAACCTGAACACAAATTACTTTAAAGAATGATGTTTTCACAGAGAGTTGGGATTTTTAAATTGGCTTGCTGATGACATGCCTGAATCTAAACAAGATTAACTGAATTTTGGGAGTAGCCATACACTTGCACTAGGCACAGGGTCACTAGATTGGGGGGGAGGAGGCCATCACTTAAGGCGTGACTTGGGCTTCAGGGCACATCTCCCCGTGAGGGCTGGCTGCCACCAAGTCGGGGCACACACAGCATGGAGCATCTTTAACCTGTACTGTGTTATGCTGGTGACACCAGGTGTTGAAAGTAAAAAATATAATTTATTTTATTTACATCTTTAAAATGGTTATTCTTGTTGCTTAATAGTTATATTTAGGCTCACTTTGAATTATAAGAGAGCATAATGCTCTTAGAAAATTTGCATTCAGCAATATTGTTTAGAGAGCAGTCTCATAGTCACATAAAATAATGGGGAAATTTAAAAGGCTAATATGTATCAAACTTGGAAAGGGCCAGTTTTTAGTTATCCTAAGATTTTTTTTTTGTATTATCTTTATGTGTTCTGTTTTCCTTTTCATATAACTTAGGCACTTGAAGCATTTTTTTTTTTAAAGATACAGGTTTGTATTCATGTTAAGTCTCTAATACTTGGAAAATTCACTTTTCTGGTTAATGAACTTTCCATATAAATGAAGGTTAAGCAAAAATCTTTTCTAGAAAATCTTGTGAAAATAGTGTACTTTCCCCGTTTTCACGGTACACAGAGTATAATAAATCCTCTTTAATTCACAAGTCAATAATTTTTCAGTACATTAGTATAAAACTGAAAGACTATTTACATTAGTCAAGATATGGAAATACCTGTCTGTGAACAGATGAGTGGATAAAGAAAATGTGTGTGTGTGTGTGTGTGTGTGTGTACATATATAATATGCACATTATATACTTACATATAATACTTTTTCTATATATATAGTATTTCACAAGTGATGGCCATTGTATAGTATATATATCGTGATGGAATAAATATGTAATATAATGGAAATATATATAAACACTATTCAGCCATAAAAATAAAGGAGATCCTGCCGTTGAAACAATATGGATGAACCTGCAGGATATTTGAACCTGCAGGATGTTTGCTAAGTGAAATGAGCCAGACACAGAAAGACAAGCACAGCAGGTCCTTGAATAATGTCCTTTTCTACAATGTCATTTTGCTATAAGTTAATGAGAAAAAAAAATCAGCTCCCAGCCAGGGCCACTGTCTGTGTGGAGTCGCACGTTCTCCCCACACCTGCTTGGGTTTTCTCCGGGGACCTGGTTTCCTCCCACATCTCCGTCAGAGTGCGTGTGGCCAGTGCTGGTTCCTGCCTTGCACCTGAACTGCTGGGAGAGGCGCCGGCCATCCTCAACCTCGAAGTGGAATAAGTGGGTTGGAAAAGAATTCTCTTACTTGTTTTATTAATTTTTCTTAAATGTATGGATAGCTCACATTTATGTCAATGTTTAGTATTAGAAGTATTTTGGGTCTTCATTTATAAGTTTGGTGATGTTTTTATTACCAGAAATATGCCATAGGAACTTAATTTAACTCTTGTTTATATCAGTTAGCCTGTGGTAAAATTGGTTTCATTATACGTAAAGTCTCAGTTTCCAAGAACCTAGCGATGGTGTTAAGTGAGGACTTAATGTACCGTATAATATCACTTACATGTGGAATCTAAAAAAGTTGAACTCATAAAAGCAGAGGTAGAATGATGATTGCCAGGAGGTAGGGGAAATGGAGGATGCTGGTCAAAGCGTACAACTTTTATAAATTTTCAGTTATAAAATAAATTTTGGGGATCTAATATACAGACGCTGACTATAGTTAAAAATATTGTATTCTTAAAATTTGCTAAGAGAGTGTGTCTTAAGTGTTCACACACAAAAAAGGTAACTGAGGTGATGGATGTGTTCATTTGATTGTGGTAATTACTTAACAGTGTATACATATATCAAATCATCACATTGTATACCTTAGATGGATGTAATTTTTATTTGTCAATTATACCTCAGTAAAGCTGGGGGCGGGGGCGGCTACTGAAAGACCCTTTACTCATTGGGAAATCAATGGTTTCCCAATTTTTAAGTGAAGAACTCAGCGACATTTAGCACTTTCATAATGTTGTGCAATCACCACCTCCATCTAGTCCCAAAAGTTTAATCACCAGAATCACTTAGCTTTTAAAAATGTTGTGTTCTATTATAATACAGGTTCCTGTCCCCTAAGTTAATCTCCCAGGTGGTGGTGGTGGTGGTGGCAGGGGGAAGGGGGAGTGGTGGCGGGGGGCCGTTAAGGAACAGAAATGTTCAAACTTCTCAGCCTCAAGAGCTCTGCTGGGTTTAAGTAGCCCCAGCTGCAGGATCTAGTCTACTCTGAGGCCCTGTACCCTGCTGGCCCCGGCTCCCCTCCATAGGCGTCTTCCCCCCTGCAGGCTGTGCTCCAGGCTCCCACTAGCGCACAGGTCCCCAGGGACTGCCTCATTTACCCTGTTCCCTGCACCTTTCCACCTGGGTGCCCCAGCTCCCACCTGGAAAGCTACCCCTCGTACCCTCCTCCCTCTTCTCTCCAAGATGACTGTTACCATCTTTCAGGGTCAGTTCTGGGTCCAGATCACACAAGAAGAATTCATCTCTGAATTTTTTAGAGTTTTTTATTTAGGTAAAATTCATATAACATACAATTAACCATTTTTAAGTGAAGAACTCGGTGACATTTAGCACTTTCATAATGTTGTGCAGTCACCACCTCCATCTAGTTCCAAAAGGTTTTCATCATCTCAAGGGAAAACCCTGCACACGGTATGCAGGCAGTCACTCCCCAGTCCAAACTCCTCTCGCCCGCAACCACCCATCCATGCTCGTTTCCATAGATTCACCTTTTCTGGGAGATTCACGTCAGTGGAATCAACAACATGCAACTTTTTGTGTCTGGCTTCTTTCATTGGGATAGTTTCCAGGTTCATCCACGTTGGATCATAAATCATATTACTAGTTGAATCATGTTAGCTTTCTAGAGTTACTATAACAAGGTATCACAGACTGGGGGGCTTACACAACAGCAGCTTATTTTCTCTCAGTTCTGGAGGCTGGAAGTCCAGATCAAGGTGTTGACAGGTTTGTTTTTTTCTGAGGCCTTTCTCCTTGGCTTGCAGACAGCTGTCTTCTCTCTGGTCCTCATATAACCTTTCCTCTGTGCTCATGCATCCCTGGTGTCTCTGTGTCCAAATTTCCTCTTCTTATAAGGAAACGAGTCAGATTGGATTAGGCCCACCCTAAAGACCTCATTTTAACTTAATGACCTTTTTAAAGACCCTGTCTCCAAATGCAGTCACATTCAGATGTTGGGGGTAGGGCTTCAACATATGAATTTTGGGGGAGGGACACAGTTCAGCCCATAACAATCAGGATATCTTATATACAACTGTTTCCCCATCATTTTCCACTGTTGAGTTCTCTGAGCACAAGCCTCAGTTTTCTTCCAGACATTGAGAACATAGCTCGTGTCTGGGTCCTCACGGCATCAGCAAGCACTGAGCACCTTGTCATCGTCCAATGCAAGTACAGGCAGCCGAGTGTCCACTTCTTTGGGCCAGTGTCCTCTGCAGTCTTCGTTTGCAGTAAGCGTACAATACGTGTATGTCTACAATGTGCTAATGACCCCTTGATAGCTCCTAAATATGTTGGAAGAGGCAGTTTTAAACTGAATATCTACTTGGAAGTTGTTTTGTTGTCATTTATTTCTTTGTGACCAAAATAGAGAAAAGAAATTGGCTAATTGAGAATTTCCAGGACCAAACACATGAATTCACTGATTTTTCTCCACACATATTGCATTATGGGAATCAAGTTAAAATGCATCACCTGTCCTTCAAGAATTTAATAGAAAAAATAACCAGACTGTAGGACAGAATGTGACCAGTGCAGTAAGATGCAAACAACCAGAGAAAGCTTTTGGCCAGAGGCAAGATCTGAGCTGGGATTTTAAGGATAGGTTGTATTTGGGTGGGAAAGTATAAATGTGGGGTTAAATTTGGGCAGGAAAGTATAGATGTGGGGTTCAGAGAAGTAGTAAAAGATTAGGATTAGGGGAAGCAGGGAGTGTTCAGGGAGCAACAACAGGCCAAGTAGGTGGGGCTCAGGCTACAGTACTACAGGATAGGAGTGCAGCCAGGCTGGAGTCCAAACAGCTGGACAGGACACGGGCATCCTGAGCGTCGCCAGGAGCCCCGGCAGGGTTTGGAACTCAGCCTCAGGAAGCTCAGTATGGCTTAGGGGGTAAGGTGGTGGGTGGTGGGATCCTGGAAGGGAGAGCCATGATTGAGATTATAACTGTTTAGAGACAGATATAGGTAGAGGCTGGCCCTGTAAAATGAATTTGAGCGTGTTCCTGCCTCTTCAGGTTTTTGGCTGAGTACGAGGAGGATTGGCATTAATTCTTCTTTAAGTGTTTGGTAAAAATCATCAGTGAAAACATATGGTCCTGGACTTTTCCTCATTGGGAGGTTTTTGGTTACTGATTCAATCTTCTTATTCATTATTGGTCTGTTCATATTTTCTGTTTCTTCATGATTCTGTCTTGGTAAGTTGTATGTCTCTAGGAATGTATTTTTTCTAGGTTATCCAATTTGTTGGCATATAATTATTTATAGTAGTTTCTTATGATCCTTTGTATTTCTGCCATGTCAGTTATAAGGTCTCCTCTTTCATTTCTGAATTTACTTGAGTCTTCTTTTTCCTTAGTCTAGCTAAAGGTTTGTCAGATCTATCTTTAAAAAACAAAAAAAAAAAAACAAACAAAAAAACACCTTTTAGTTTTGTTGATCTTTTCTATTTTTTTCTGGTCTGTTTATTTCTGCCCTGATCTTTGTTATATCCTTCCTTCTGCTGATTTTAGGCTTAATTTGTTCTTTGAAGTCTAGAGCTAGTTGCTTATTTGAAATCTTTTTTTTTTTTTTAATATAGGTATTTTATTGCTATAAATTTTCCTCTTAAAACTGCTTTCGTAGCATCCTATAGGTTTTGATATGTTGTGTTTTCATTTCATCTGTTTGGAGATTTTTTATTTTTCTTTTGATTTCTTCTTTGACTAATTGGTTATTCAGGAGTATGTTGTTTAATTTCCACATATTTATAAGTTTTCCAGCTTTCCTCTTGTTGATTTCTAATTTCATACCAGTATGATCAGAAAAGGCACTTGGTATTATTTCAGTCTTTTTAAATTTGCTAAGACTTGTTTTGTGACCTAACATACAATCTATCCTAAAAAAAGTTCCATGTGCACTTGAGAAGAATGTGTTTTCTCCTGCTGTTGGGTGGAATGTACTATATATGGCTGTTACGTTCATCTGGCCTAAAGTGTGGTTCAAGTCCAATGTTTCCTTGTTGGTTTTCTGTCTTCACGATCTATCTGTTGATGAAATTGGGGTATTGAAGTTCTCTGCTATTATTGTATTGTTGTCTGTTTCCTTATTCAGATCTATTAGTATTTGCTTAATGTATTTATATGCTCCGATGTTGGGTGCATATATTTATAATTGTTATATCTTCTTGATGAATCGACCCCTTTATCTTTAAATAATGGCTTTCTTTGTCTCTTGTTACCATTTTTGGTAGGAGTATGAGGATCTATAAAAGAGAATAGTTCAATGATTCCCATCCCCATCTATCTATAATCCAGATTGTCAAAATTTTGCCACACATGCCTCATTAATTTTTACTGAAGTATTTTAAACTCTCAGACATTATATCTCATGAACTCTAGATAACTCCATATGCATCTCTAAAAAATATGGCTATTTTCTTATAGAACTATAATGCCATTAGCCATACCTAAAAAAATTTAATCGTGATTCTATAGTTTCATCTTTTACTTAGATATACCTATAAGATTTTCCTGATTATCAGAATCCAAACAAGGTCCGCATATTACCCAGGGCTGTTGAAGTTAGGTCTCTTAATCTAGGGCAAATCACCATTACTTTTCTCCCGTAGAATGCCCCACATTCTGAGTTTGTCTCTTTGCTTTCAGTTGATATTATTTAACTGTTTCTTCTTTGATAGGAGGTTCTTCAGTCTGAGAATGACTGTGTTATGACTTGGAGCCTTCTGCAGCCCTGGAGAATCTGCCTTTAGCTCTCATGCCCCGGGGGAACCAGTAAGAGGGTGAGCCACTTCCCATTTCAAAGTCAGGGAATATCCTGCTTCTCTGTCCAGCTCAGGCCAGTCTAATTCTATGAAGCCTTTGCATTCCTCACCTCTGAATCTCACTAAATTATGTGTAGCACTTAATTATGTGATCTCTCTTATTCACTGTGATTTCATATTTGTAAGCCTTGTTCTCACAAAAGTTACTGTATTTTTAAAATTTAATGTACATTTTATGAATGTATATCAGAAAAGTGTAGAAATTATGTGGCTTGATGGATTTTCATGATAGGAACACACTCATGTAACCAGCACCTAGATCAGGTATCATTATGTCTTTTCCAGTCATTGCTTTCCTCCCAGGGGTAATCACTACCCTGACATCCAGCAGCAGAGATTAGTTTGGCTATTACTTTCATATAAATACAGTCACATAATATGCGCTGTTTTTGTCTGACTTCTTTCACTCAGCATTGCTAGATTCATCCATGTTTCATGTAGCTGTCCATTTGTTCTCCTTGCTGTGGTGTTTTCCATAGTATAACAGTTTATTAGCCTGTTTTACTGTTGATGGACATTTGGGTAGTATCTAGTTTGGGGCTATTACATATGGTACTGATGGGAATATTCTTATATGTGTCTTTTCGGTGACCCTGTGTTTACATTTCTACGAAGCATCTGCCTGGTGTGGAGTTGCTGGAATATTGGGTATACGTAGATAGGCTCAGCTTTCCTGTCAAACAGTCTTCCATTGGGGTTGCACTAGATAATTTTTAAAAACACATCTTACCATGACACTTCCCAGGCTTACTTAATACCTCTTAATTACCCCCATCACATAGAGCTGAAATCCAGAGTCCCTGGGGACCTGGGCTCAGCCTCCATGCGCTTCTCCTGGGCTCATGATCATGCTCCCGCTCCCAGGCATGCCCAGGCCTTCCCCTGTGCTCAGACCACCCTGCTTTTCCCTGGCCATCCCCTCACCTGTGCCTGCCTATTTCCTGTTTCTTCTCAAAGACTCTGCTGCTCAGGTAGTACTCTCTCTCGAGACACAGGATGCCCTGCTTCCCCATGCATGTCTCTCATTGGCCTCTCCACAGTGTTATAATCACCTTACTGTATCTGTCTCCCTAGTTAGACTGCAGCTCCTTCAGACAAGGACTGTTGTCTTGTTTATCTTCATGTACTAGGCCCATCCTAGATGCTCAAAATATACTGAATGGGTGAATGAATGACCTTTCAACTAGCCTGGAAGTACTGAACACTTGGCAGATAATAGTAACAGAAATTTATGGCTGGTGGATCACTTTTTGCTTTACAAAAACTTTAAATCTGGCTCTGATTTTTAAAGTTGAAAAGGGAAGGCCTTGAAGCACAGCCCCTCCTGCAGGCGTGACCGGTGGACAATAGCTACAGTAATTTCACACTAAACAATGGTAATTTGCTATGAAAACCAGTGAGAGCTTCAGTATTTTCTACCACCCAGAACCTCCTGTGTTTTTCCCCTCGTCAATAGCAATGCACGTTGGGCGAAAGTACTTGGATTTTGGTTTAAGCTTTAGCTTTAAATCCAGGCCATTCTATTTTTAATAGCTGTGCTGTTTTAGTTAGATAATTCCTGAGCCTGTTTCCCATATGGGAACTGGGACAGTAACACCAGCCTTGCAGAGCTGCCGGAAGATTGGAGAGAACATATCAATTCCTAGAGATCCACTGACAGCCCCCCTTCAATGAATTTTCTTCCTTTCTCCTGGAGAAATAGGTGTAATTAATAAACTAGGCTCAAGTCAGTTTCCACATGGCTCTATATCGGTCCTCCCAAAATCTCTGGGTGGAGCTGGGTTGCATTCTCAGCTCTCCCTGCACTGGAGAAAGGGTACAGCCCTGCAGCCCAGAGGGCGAGCAGACAGGACAAGGGCCTCTCCCTTCGAGGGAGAAAAGATCTCCGCAGCTGCAGAGCTTGCTCTCCCGCCCATAGGGTGACATGGGTCTGGGGAACCTCTCCTTTCTTTCTTGGGTGCTAATGTCTGGGGAGAAGGTATAGTCCACCTGGCCTGTGTTGGTCTTGTTCCTTCCATGAGACATGGACCAGCTCTCTGGAGAACTGTCTTTGTTCCAAGACGAGGACAGAGATAAATCCCTTAACTCAAAAATAATTGACATCATCATTATATAAAAAGAATGGTGAATTTGTGTGAATTTTTAAGGAGCAAATCCTTTGAGCGACTGTGGCCTGGTGGGGTCCATGCTGGTCTCTCATACATGCCTTCCTCCTCCTCCTCCTCCTCCTCCTCCTCCTCCTCCTCTAACCTGGCATCCCATACATCCCCCTCCTCCTCCTCCTCCTCCACCTCCGCGGCTGCCTCCGCACCAGGTTCACACTGGACAACAGCCTAGGGGCCCATTCGAAGGACAGTAAAGAGCTGTGGAGTTTTAACTAGGACTTTAGTTAACCTTTAGATATCGGGTGGTTTGTGAAGCATAGCCCTCTGGGGTGGGGGCGGGGGAGAATCGCTTTTTTCCTCGTTTGGGGAACTCCTGTGATATTAACAGACTGTTAATACCAGCTCTTTATCATGTTTGAAAGAACACTGTAAACTTAAAAAAAAAAAAAAAAAAAAGCCCCAAATTGGAAAACAAAGCTATTCTGTTGATTTTGGAATAAGTTTGAAAAATTGTTTAAACTGAATATAGCAGCATCTCTGATAACCACAAAGCAGTAACTACAAATAAAGAGATTTTTACATTTTAACAGAGATTTTGCTCTCCCTGAGTGGATGGTGTGTTGGCTTTTAAGTGCTTTTTAAGAGCCAAGTATAGACCAAATTGTGCTTTTTAGTAATACTTAAGGTCCTAGGATCCACCCCCAAACACTAGAGAACCCTGAGGAAGATTGGTGTGCTTGGCCTCCAAGCCTCTGGCTTCTTTCAGCCACTCCCAGCCATAATGTAGCTTTTAAAGTGAGAAGTTTTGTTTTTTTTCGGGGGTGGGGGCAGGGGAGTATAGTCTATAAAAGGGTTGGATTCAATTAGTTCAGTGCATCCAGTTCCTTCAAAGCCCCTGTCACTCCAACACATTTTTCTAGAAGTTTTGGACTCGATTCTGATTGCTGTCAGCAGTGAGCAGCTGTGTGTTTAGGAGTGTGAGTAAATGGACCCACTTTATGTAAGGTATTTAAAGGCATGTTCAGTAACACGCCCTTAATTTCCTTTCCTACTCCTCATAATTCGGAATTTTCACGTATCTCTCGGTTATTTTAATTGAATTTTACTTGGGAGTAATTAGAAAAGCACTGAAAGGAGTTGAATACTTTAGGACAGGTAATCAAAAACTCATCAGGCTAATTTTAAGTTCTGTGTTTTTATTTTTAAAAAGTTGTCTTTTAAAAAACATTTAAAAATGGAGTTATACATGTGCATGTTTTGGGGTGATTCTTTAGTTGTGCTAGTGGAGGCAATTAACTTTCTAGGTTTGTATCTCCTACCTACCTGATAGCTAACTTCTTTTAGAAAATTTAAACTGTTTAATATTCTTGGCAAAAAGTAATTCTGAAGGTAAATCTGTTATTGTTAACAAAGAGTTGAGTCCTGAATTCAAGAGCCCGCGAGCCCATGGGAAATGGAGTTTGGATTGTTCCTGATTGTGTTTAACTTGCTGTCGGGCGGCAGGGGAGCTGGGTTGGGAGCAGTAGACAGACCAGTGGGTGAGGCCGCCTGTGCCCTGGTTTCTGAGTAGTGCTCAGGGTTCCTTTTGTAGTAGTGTAGGTGGTGGTCCAGTAAGCTTTTAGGTTTGACATCTAGCAGTTGTATTTGGCGGTCATCTTCTAGAGTCTTCTCGCTAATTCATTCTTTCCAAAGTCACTGGGGGAGGCCCCTGGTTGGCTCTCTTGTGGATCCTGGGTCCCGGGGAAGCTGAGCCCAGCACACCTGCGTCTCTCCGGGGGCAAGGCAACCCCTCTGAGGTCAGCAGTAGCTTCACTTTGACCCCGGATCCCTTGGCTCTCTGTCTAGTGCTCCTTCTGGGAGACTTGTTCCCCTGTTCCCCCAAAGCTATGAAATGCCATGATAGATATCCCATGGGCCCAGACCTAGCCAGGGGCTTTACCTGCATTTGTAACTATGTTATTTATCACTTTTGGGTAGGCCTGACTTCTAAAATGGTTATCTAAGAGTTGCTTAAACAGATAATGTTCTCTTTCTAGGATATTTTTTAGACCACCTAGAAGGTGTGTGATATTTTGTAATTATTCTGTGCTGCTTCTAACTTAGTGTTCCCAAACTCCCCATTCTCACCTAAGAAAGCTAAACAGTCAAATAAAAACCATTTTAAGTTAATGTAGCCTTAAAATATTTCCAAAAAAAAAAAACAAACAAAACCTTTTAAACAATACACCTATGGATAGTCATTCCCTTTCCCTTCATTACTTAACTGCGTTGTTGCCAAGAGAAAAAACATTACCTTTTGGAGGCATGCAAGGTAGA